CAATTTTATCGGATGTCCCCGAAGGGACAAGTTTAGTTTAGAGAATATGAGAAATGTAGACTTGCTAATTGAATTTGGAACTTATATGTTTACTTGTGCACTGCATAGTAAGAATTGGCACTGCAATTGGTTTTTTACATTATAAATAAATAGATAATGTCTGAGGAAGAAGGTGAAGTGCTCACAATAAATAACACAAAGTTTACAATGCAGCAAATAACTAGCCGCTATTCAACAATTGCTTAACTTGTCTACATTCAGCACAGCACAAAACTGGAGAAAAAACAAAACAAATAAATAAATAAAATAACTAAAGCATAGAAAAACAAAAACAAAAACATTTTTCATGGACTTACATATTATAAAATTAATTTGAAAGAAACCATATATATATATATATATATATATATAATTTTTCTTTATATATTCTTATTTTCTTTTCTTTTTTTTGGTGGATTTATACGGGCCTGGGCTTCGACGTGTAAGCTCGATGGAGCTCATGAGGAATCTCGTGAAGATTATTCTCTTCCGGTTTTCGACCGGTCAGTGATTAAGGACTCGCGTGGACTTGGCTCGTTCATTTGGAACCGAGTGAAGAGAATTCCATTGACCCTATCGCCTTTTCCCCTGCCGACGAAAAGGGCCACGTACATTGTGAGTGGAGCCCTAATCGAGAAACTCAAGGATTTCGTGTCGGCCGAGGTTTGAGCTTTGTCCACCTTTCGTCTTTTGTGGTGATGTCAGCTTAAGCGTGGACGTATCTTGCAAAAAGTCGAGTAGCTGGTGATTATGATGATGAGGATGATGTGGAATTTTTCATGTATACAGCTGATATCCGAGCCTGGGTCAACCCACCGGTGCCCGGAAACTACTTTCGTAACTTCTTGTCGGGCGAGCTTGGGAGGGCCCGGCATGAAGAGCTAGTTGGTCCCGGTGGGTTTGTTTTGGCGGTTCAGGCAATAACCGAGTAGGTGTAACACATGGTGAATGATAAAGATCGAGTCTTGGAGAGGCTCGAGGATCGAATTGAAGAAATCGGGTCGATCATTAGGGTCGATTTGTACGGTGCGGATTTCGGGCTAGGGAGGGCTCGCAAAGTGGAGACTCAGTCGATCGATGGGGAGAAATACGCAATGTGGCTGTGTAAGCGAGGGATTTTGAAGGAGGTTTGGAGATTGGTCTTTCTCTACCTAATGTTACAATCTTTGATTGTCTCGCGGCCTTTATGATAGTATGATAACCTGTACAACCTACACTATTATGGTAGTTCATTTGTTAGAGTAATAGTGCTTGTTTGAGAGCCAAAAAAACTCATTTAAAAGATGGACTTTTTGTATAGTGGCTTCTCAAAATGTGTCCATTTTTTCTTTGAAATGGACTATTCTATAAGATCACATTTCTCAAAGTTCAATTCAAAAATTTTCACCAACATTCATGTTTTTCTTCATACTTAAAATTGTGTAGTGTGCACATAACCATTTATTTCACCACATGATCATACCAAGTGAAACAAAAAAACAACTCTACTACAAAACCCTTTAGCACAACAACAAATCACAACAAAACCCATTAACACAACAACAATAACAACAAATCAAAGCTACAACAACCCTTTTACTCCAAACCATCTTCAAACAAACTAGCAAAAACATCCATTTTAGCCTTAGACAAAGAAAGCCCTATCTCCAATCCATCCTCACAATCCCTCGGCCTGCACAACGACATCGAGTACTTTTCCCCGTCGATCGACAAGGCCTCAACCTTTCGGGCCCTCCCGAGCCCGAAATCCGCTCCGTACAAATCAACCCTGGCAGACCCAGACACAGAAAACATCCGTTTTCCCCCAATCGACGTTATTTCCTTCACAATATTCTCCAACCAACCCATGATTCTATCTGTACCATTCAACTTGTCCTTGATCTCGTCGGCTATGGCCTGGGCCGCCACAAAAAGCCCGCCCGGCCCGATCAACTCCTCGTGCCGGACCTTCGCAAGCCCGCCCGTTAAGCAATTCCCGAAGTAGCTCCCGGGTAGCGGCGGGCTCAAACGGGCTCGAATATCGGCCGCGAACAAGAAAAAATCCACCTCATCATCATCGCAAACTCGTTTCTCCTCATTTTCGTCGTCCCAAACGAGCGATTTCGCGAGGCATGTCCACACGTGAGCCGAGGCCACCACGAACGACGACAGGCGGTCGAGCCCCGGAAATCCCGACTTTGCCACCACAGAGTCCTTGAGCTTCTCGATTCGGGCCCGGTCAAGAACGTACGTGGCCCGAACCCTTTTCGTGGGCAGGGGAAATGGGGAAAGAGTAAACGGGACTTGTTTCATTTGGTCCCAATAAGCCGATTCCAATCTTCCCGACGGGTCAACGATCAAGCCCCGGTCAAAAACCGGACTAGCATTCTCGAGAGAACCGGATTTGCACGCCGAGGCCCAAGCCCGAACGAAGCCCACGATCGAGCTCGCATCGCCGGCCGAGTGGTGGTTGGTTACGCCGATGCACACGCCGCGGCCCGGGAAGAGGGTTACTCGGACCGCAAGCAATCGGAGAAGCTTGCGGTCGGGCTCGGTTATGACCGGTGGAAGTTGTGGGGTATAATCGTAAAACGCATCGGCCTCTCGCGGTTGGTTACTGACGAGCAATTCGAAAAATTCTCCGCCGGCCGACGACTCGTAAATCGGGAATGGGACCGAGTCGCCGGGCGAGTAATGGATGGTGGGCTTGTAGTTTTCGGTGTCCGAAGGGTAGATTAAAGTCCCGGCGAGCGGGAAGTAGAGTTCGAGAGCTAACGAGAGCGAGTGTTTGAGCTTCGGTACGAAGCTTTCGAGGAAATGCGACTTGGAAAAGGGGAAATCGTAGAAGAAAAGGCGGCGAATCGGGTGGAAATGGAGCCAGCAGAGGTCGAGGAAGGTGAGCGGCAAAGTCCGGTGGGCGGCCGGCGGCGGCCCAACTGTTGTGGCTTCTATAAGGGTAGTCATGTTATGTTAAGTGTTTGATTGCTCACCTT